TTTTTTGTTTCATCAGTGTTTCCTCATTTCTTCTCCCTCTCTACTTCATCTTTCTACGTCTCACGACTTGGATCATCTTTCTGGCTTCTTGGAAACTGCCCACCTACCCCTTCCCTAAGCCAACGTTAACACTTACTTTTTTTCTTCTTCCTTCCTTCCTTTCCAGTAGGACCTTTTCTTAAAGTGCAGTCCAATCCTAACCAATGTCTCGCACTTCAGATTCCTACTCGAAGAAAGAAGAAGGCGCCAGTTGTTCAAAGCCAGAACAAGAAAGTAATCGAACAGGTGCGTTAAGTTAAATACTAAATCTTTTGCATTTTGATATTAGTAAAAAGTTCCACTTACAAACAATATTTACATTGAAAAGTATAAACTGTTGTCAAAAAGAGAACTGCAAGGTCTAATCAAACAACGTAAAAAGGCTGTAGACCGCTGTAGGTACATTTTGACAGGCCAATTCCTGTCTTCATTAGGTTCATTGTGACTGACTGCGATCGTTTTTAATCTGACGTTGACCAAGATTGATGGAACACGCTTTTTGCAGTGGTTTTGTTGCACCTTAACTTAACAATATTTACATTGGCTTTGCTAACGTTTTATCTCAATAATTGACATTTAAGGAGGAAAGCCGTTAAAAAAGCAAGGTCTAAAAAGACCGTTCTTGAGTCTTCGTCGGCTCTCTGTTCCTCAAAGGCTCTGAAACCCATGCAGCATTGCATTTTCTCTAGACCTTTACTTTCTTCCTAGTACAACAAGGACAAGTCACTCTCACGTCCGATGCTAAAAAAGTTGCGAATTGCGTTTAGGTTGTTAAATATGCCCACCGACTATCTAAGAAAAAAAATCTATTTTCAAGTTTTTTAATACATACAGTTTTTCTTAAAGCGCGGTTAAATCCTTTTTACAATGCCTCTTTCGACAGATTCACATGAGAGCCAGTTCGAAGCCTGTACAAGAAAGTGATCAAGTTGGTACGTTTAATCAATTTCTAAAACTTAAATCAGGATTTGCAGTTCCATTGGGTATCGAGTGTTTTTGACGGATTGGGGGGGGAATAATGGGAGAATTGGGGGGAAAACGGTAACAAGTGCTGCGTAAGTGCTATCAGTAATTAAGTTGTGTGGACTTTCTGTTCATAACCCCCAATATATATTCCAATACGCTTGCCGCCGTTACGGCGCAACCAGTGCAGGTTAGAGCTACACCAAAGACCTTTCCTGCTTAAGGAGCCGTTTGCAACCATTTTCTCAGTGGTATAGTATTTCTTTAAAACCCTAAAACCACATTGGAAACAAAGAAGACCCTGGCACTGATAGCTCAGTTACACTCCTACTATACCCAGTCAACTAAAAGGTGTATGTCTTGGCTTTCGACTGGCAGAATGGAAGCGGATTGCAAGAAAAAAAACTCCTGCTTAGTCTAAAAATGGCTAGAACTGGTGATGGTTTGTTCTCCCTTTGATACCTTTTGATAGTATCATTTAATACGTTTCTATTAGAGGTACTACAAGTATTAAAACAGATGTCTGAGAATACCTAATTATAATTTTTGCCCACTTTAGACTAAAAAAGTGGAACTCACAATGACATAGCTCTTGAAAGTGTCCCCCGTAAAATTGGCCTCCTTCTTCGGCCTCATTCAGTCAACTATAACAACAAGAGAGGATAAAGGGGATAGAGAAGGCATCCCCCATACACACCCTATTCCATAGGTAATTCGCCTCGAGCTATTTTTAGAATCGGGATAAAGTTACCTCGCGCGCTGCGTGGATGTTTCGTGGAGGTTTCACATGACTAAACGCCATGCAAAACGTGTTGGGCGAAAGGCAATGAAAGCGTAAAGGGATCGAGAGCATTTCTGAATATTGAAGCGAAATGAGTCGGCGCTCACCTGGGAAAAGGGAACCGCTCGACTCTTTGACAACCCGTGAAATCAGTTTAACTCGAAGTTATCGTAACCTCAGTGCTTTAATAAAATGAGAAATTTCCCGGCAAATTGAAACCGGTCGTTTGTACAATAAAGTAAGTAGCAAGTAATATTCATGTAATTAGTGTTACAAATTTGAATTTTATTGTAGTTTATTTAAGTTGTTAAGCGCTGTTGATCAGAGAATGTAAATAGCGCTCTACAAGTTATTAAATTATTATTATTATTATTATTATTATTATTATTATTATTATTATTATTATAGGACGCCAAGTGTTATTTTTGTTGAATAATAAAAGACTAATAAAAGAAGAAATGTCAAACCAGAAATTGCTCTCTTCAAACTGTAATTATAAATGATCCTGAGAGAATATTCACTGTGTTAAGGATTTCCCTGCTGTACCGTTAGCTCTATACAAGAGAGGAAGGGCGATTCTTTTTTAATTTCCGTTTCGCTGACACAGCTTTGGCAGAAATCTCTCTGTAGTCGTTTTCGTCGACAAAACGAATAGCAACATTGCTCTCCGCGTCTTCCGCCATTTTTTCTGCCTCAATTCGTGAAGGACGCGTGGCTCTGAGCGTGGGTCATCCACGCGGAACACATTCACACTATGTGATTGGCTGTTGTCTAATCCCCCTTGGGATCTGTGGTCTTAAAAATAACTTGAGACGAATTACCTATGGAATAGGGTGTGTATGGAGGATGCCTTCTATGTCCCCTTTATCCTCTCTTGTATAACAATATATACACTTTTACAAACGTTTTCATTTAAACAGAAACACATCAGTGATTTTCTTCTTTTGCTTTACACTTTAATTATTATTTTTCTATCTGGTTCACAGAATTCTCAAAGGATAGATCTCACCTCCTTTAAACGGTGCCACATTTTATTTTGAGATGTCTTGTCCCAACACACGAATGCAGATGCATACTGTTGCACGGTCCCCCTGGCATAGGGAAAACAGCCCTGGCCATTAAAGTAGCAAACGATCGATGGGAGACTGACAAAAATACCATGGTTGTGTACGTAAATTGTAAATATATATATTCAGCCGATGATTTCGCTGAAAAGGTTCTTGTATATATTTATCATTACTCCTTAAATAATCCAATATCTGGAATGAAAAGGCGCTTGGGGTAAACAGTGATTTCAACAAGTACACAATTATGTTGCTAGACAGCTTTGAATTTCTAATTCACGAGGATGATCGGATAGAGAATCAAGGGGAACAGGTCAATCGGATCAAAGCCACAGAGTTTGTGGCAAAACTGATCTTTAGTTCCAGGAATATGAAGTTGTTGGTCACATCGTCACAGAATTTCGAGTTCCCCTCACCGGGAAAGGAGAAGATCACCCAGGGTGCAAACTTTTCAGCTCTTGAAAACTGTATGGAAGAGCAAGACAGTGTACAAAACATGGGTAGATCAACTTTCAGATGTATGTAGTCATAGGCGTAAGGGCAATTTCTTGCCGGGGAAACCATTTGCCCAAAAAAATCTCGCAAGCTGCCAAATTTTTACGAAACAGTCGAAAAGAAACGAGGGTAATATTGAAACACCGTAGGTCGTACTGGCATAAGAAGGTGGCTCAATACAGTTTTTCAGGATCAATACCAAGTTTTAGCATAAACTACGTCGCCATAGACAAACATTTGGAAAAATTGCCACCACAGTTGTATTAGATAAAGATGAAAATTTGTCATGGGTTGCAACCACATCGGATTGCCATAGCAACGAAATGACGCCATTACCTATTTTACTTCAGCAATATTTCTCGGCACAGGGAACCTTACAAGATCGTTCACGGGAGCTTTTTTCTCCAATACGGTCGCCTCGATGTTCGTAAAGTTAACTCAAAATCTGTAAGAGCGTTGTCGAGGTATTTTGGGATGAAGTTTTTATCGTTAAAACTACGGCAAAGAATCTTGATGTTTGGCCGTTATCTGTAGAAAACGAAGCGCCATGCAATTTTACCTTGTAGTAGTTTTAATCTTTTTAGAAACGTGTGTGAAAGATCGTGGTGATAGCTCCCGCCGATTGTTGGAAAGAACGATTTGATTAGTATGTATCGAGGCGAACTTGTTAGCGGTTTTGTAAACATTTCGGTCTACTTTAACAAATTAGCAAATAATTTTTAAACCAGTCGATAGATTTTTTTTAAAAAATCAAGATTCTTCTCGTAATTAAAACTGAGAATTAGTCAGCCACTTCTTCATTTTCAGACCCATTGCTGATGCTATCTGCCATGCACTGTTCTTCGAGTGGAGATAATTCTAGAAAGTTATGCGGAAGTTTATTCTAGTCAATTCACGACTGTACAGAAATAGTCCATTCGAGCTAGTACAGTGCAGTACAGTGTCCAACAATTGAAAACTACAAATATGTAAATCAACATATGATACCCTTCCCTAATAACCAAAAACTCATCACATGCCAAGCAACCACTGTCTCGTGTGAATGTCACTGGATTATTACGCCTACTTTAGATTAACATTCAGGTCTTCAAATAATAAAAAAAAACATGGAAACGTCTTTAAAAACTGTCTTTGCCAAAATTTTCTCTTGCTGCCCAAAAAATCTAAGTTGCCCAAAATTTTGGCCCGAATGCCTCTGTATGTAGTGGTATTCCGCTGGTCTTCTAAGTCGCTTGCTACAGATGAGTTGTTCACCACCAGAGGAGAGATTTCAACACTTGGAGAAGATTAAAGTTGTCCCAGAGGAAGAAAAAACAAACTTCTCTCTAGATGTTTGCTTTGATAGGAACAGAACACCCTCGTGAGCCTGACTCTTTTCGAAGGCTGGTTTTCACTGTCTGGAGCAGCAAAGGTATTTCAATCCACACGGTCAAGCGAAGGTCAGTTGATTGGTCATGTCTTGGAACTAGCCAATGCAATTGCTCCCTCTTGGTTCAAAATACCACTGCTGCAGGTGTCGGCTGGTACAGTTTCCTGTGGCTCATTAACGAGTACTGCAAACGAAAGGAGGTGGAGGAACGCTTTGGTACGCTCTTCCACAGTGCTCGCAATCAGTGCATTGACTACTTTCTGAACTTCTTGAAAGAGACCTTCAAGATATGTTTCTGAGTAGGAATGCATTAAAAGCCATCACAGACTTCCAGCAAGAAGAGGAAAACATCATGCAGCTTCTTGAGTGGATTGACAAGGATCAAATGGATGAAGAACGAATTATGGCATGCATTGATGTATTTAATATGGTTGGGAAGTTACTTGCCAAGATGATGAGCAGGAGGAAGTTTAAATCAAAGTACGATTTGCTAAAGAATAAATGTGAAGAAGAGGGTGATCAACAGCGACTCAGTGAATGCCTAACTTCCCTGGGAATCAATTGCGAAGAAGTGTTCAACTGTTCCTGTACACCTGGGTCCGGTTGCATAAAACCTACACTTAAGTGCCCACTTAAGTAGGTCACTTACGAATCCGTTATGGGTACACTTACAGGTGTTGCATGAAACGCACTTAACACTCTCGTAAGATACTGTTTTACGTGGTAACTTACGGGCTCACTCAAAGGCACACGTAACTTTGATATAGTACTTTATTAATGACTCACTCTTTTTTTTTAAGCTAACCATCGGTGAGTGTAAAGAAAGTTTTTTAAAACTTAAAAGTCGTTTCGAACACTTTTAAGCCTCTCAAAAAAATAAAATTTACATGCAATCGTTATTTTTCTTCAATGTCTACTGAAAATGATAATTCTTCTTTTTTCGCGATCGTCGGCTTTGAAGTGTCCATCAGAGGTTAACAAAGCGCACTAGACCGAATTACGTGAAGAAAATTACTTTTTTTTACTTCTCAGTATAGTAAAAGATCTCGTTAACTTTAGTAAAAACAGTAACGATACGGGACCTACATAGGTCCCGTAAATTTACGTGCTATTTTTCCCGTAAAAAAAGTTTTATGCAACACCCGCAATTTCTGTTGCATAAACGACACTTAAGTGAACACTTACGAAAATCGTAAGTGCAACCATTTAAGTGAATTCCCTAAGTGGACCACTTAAGTGATTTAATGCAACTCACTTAAGTTACGAGTGCACGTACGTATATCCGTAGTTGTTACGGGCGTTTTATGCAACCGGGCCCTGGCCAGTGCGTTGAGGCCAGTAAAAGAGCCAAAGCGTATCTTGAGAAAGCTGACGGGATTTAGAATGACCTGGAAATCACCTCTGGTAATAGCAGGGCTCAGTGTCTCTCAAAACCTGGCCGATGTCTCACGAAACAACGCGATCCCAGGGGACAGCCCAAGATAAAAGAAGCCATTTGCATTCGATTAAACGACCACAGTGATGAGGAGATATGCAGGGTCATGCTTGGAGCTTCGTACAACGATAAAGCAGGTGAGTTTGGTTGCTGTGGACCTATGCTCTTGCGGACAGGGTAGCTTCCTCTGCTGCATTTCCAGTGGCGGATCCAGGGGGAGGGGCCCCCTTATTTTTAGACCAAACTAAGGCCCGAAGGACCGAAAAAAATTATTTGGAGACCGGGCACCCCCTTATCTCGGGGTCTGGATCCGGCACTGATTTCTGTCTGCTTTCCTGGTCATTCCTTACGATGTTAGCACATTCCAAGACAGCTGTTCAAAACATCCCTAATGACTTGCCATCACAACACGTTTAAAAACAATGAAGATTTTCATTCCTTCACACGAGAAACGAAACGAAGTTTAATGCAAAGGGTCCAACAACATCTCATAATGTGCCATTATCCTTCTTATGTTACTATACGATCGTTTTAAACATCAGATATTTAATCGGCCATATTGGCGACGGAGGTAAATCCAAGGGGGGTTGAGGACAGGCTTTACCTCCGTCGCCAATATGGCCAATGTTGAGAGTTGTGACTAACGAAACAGAGAAAGTAAGGCAAGAGAAATTTTGCCGCCTTGGTCGCATTGTCGTTGTGGAGTGGTTACCTTATTGCGATCGTCAGAACGCATCCTAAGCTTGGTTGTCCTGTGATACAAAGCAACAAATTTTCGAGGGATCGTAGGCGACTGCCGATTAGTGGCCTCCACTGATTTTATCGGGGGCATTTCGGTTACCTTATCACGTTTGACAGAACGCATCCAAAACTTGGTGGTCCTGTGGTACAAGAAACAAATTTTCGAGGGATCGTGGGCGACTGCCGATTAGCGGCCACCACTGATTTTATCAGAGGCATTTCAACCGAGTAACTGGACTCCTTTCGACTCGATTTCGATTCCGTAAGTGACGAACGCGGATTCGTAATCAACGATTACCTCTAGTTTTGACTGTTTTGGCAGTTGGAATGTAATTTAGCGGCCATTTCAGTTGCGATTTCCATTGTCAATTGATGGTCTGCTAAGATGCTTGACTGTAGTAATATATCACAATTTTTAACAGTTTTATGATTTCTCTTTTAAGCATCATTCGTCTTTTATTGAAGAGCATTAAAGCCAGTGTTTTTAGTTGGCACAAAAGATGTCCGACCGTATAGGTCGTCAAGTCGTGCATTTTAAAAGGCACCAATGTTTCCGGGGTCTGACATTTTGTTCTTTTCTTTTTGTAGTGGCTCTCTCGCTGGAGGAAGATCATGGTCAAGGTATTAACATAAGAGAAGAAAAGACGCTACCGATTTACAAAGAAAAACTAGGAGAACATCCCTTTACTGCCACTATCTATAACAACCTTTCAAACAACTTTTGTAACTTGGGTGAATTTGATGAAGCCAAACCATATTCTGAGCATGCCTTAAAGATACGGCGCAAGTTGCTGAATGATCACATGGACACTGCAAAGTCCTTGTTTGACCTTGGGATGATGCATAAAGAACAGGGGGACTTCCAGCAAGCAATTACTTACCTTGAACAAAGCAAAAACATGCAGGAGAGGGTTCTAGAGGACAATCTAGAAGACCTTCAACGGTAAATTAAAACTACAAATGAAGATTAGATTAATCTAGGTAGCCATACAAACGCATATAAATGTAACGAAAACAATGGAAGATGGAAACAAACTGCCAGCAAGTTCCCAGCAAGTGCGATTGGCCTTGAATTCGCCCCAGTCCCTTCGCGCAAGACGATCGTTTGAAGCCGAAATTGTCCCTTTATTGTCGCATTGCGATGAAGCGAGGACGGTGATTCCCCATTTCTATAAGTGTTTTATGCTTGTCATGGCTTCACAAAAAATATATATTAAGGAGAAAAAATCTGGATGGTAGAAGTTGCTTTTTTTCAGATATGAATGACGTGAAAACTCCTCATTTAGCTTCATTTAGAGCCAGAGAGAAGTATGAGATAATGTTACAACTGTCCATTTGTCTGCATTTTTTCAGGATCGGGAAATTTCAAGTCTTTTAACTAAAAAATTATAGCTCAAAAAAGCAAGCGGCATTAGTTTTACGTAAATTTCTTATATTTTGCTTTTCGATAGCTATATGATCAGTCGTTCAAGTTCGGAGCATTTCGCGTGCAACTAGGAAAACACTCAGAATTACGTGCACACAGGGAGAAAAAAGGCACAGTGACCCCATCTTTTTTTGCAGTTTTTGAATGTCCTACATATGGCTGACATTTGTGCCAAGTTTTAAAAAAAAACGATAAAACATCCTTTTCAAGGGAATTACCTCAAGAGCAGGAGTGATCAATAAATATAGTTCAAGTCCTCAGGGACTTCGGTTTTAGAAACTTAAAAGTTCACCTTATATGAACTTGTGTGATTTCATACTCAACTGAACTTTAAAAATTACGGAAGAAATTTTTTCATATCATTTGTCATCATAACAACCGAACCTTAGCCTGAATTTCATCCGATTACTTCTAGTCGTTATATTACTCCCTCAGAGGGGAGAAAACGACTCCAAACAATCGGATGAAATTCTGGCTAACCGAACCTATGAATGCCTAGTATCATGGTGTATGTCCACCACAATTTTTTATCATCACTGTAACTTTCCCTTTTCTTTTCTTCTCTTTTTCACAGGACCAGACAAGAGCTGGAAGACGTTCGTACGCGCCTAAATAGGACGGGAGCTTCTCAGCCCCCGAATGTGGACTAGTCAGGTTGAAATCATACTGCTTGGTCCCTAGACATTTAAGGATGCATTTCCACTATCGCGTAATTTTCACGTGCTTTACATGCGGAAATAAACTAGAGGCAAGTCACTTGTCTCGCTCAACTTTTATGTTTACGAGCGGCCTTTCATACGTCGCCTCTACGTGCGTACGCACATGAAAATTACGTCTGCAATACCTGCCATAGGAAAGCAGGCAAGTACCGAAGGATAAAAGACAAACTATTGGGAAGGAATTGAATTAATAATAAATAAATGAGTTAATAGCCCCTGAAATTTAGTACCAGAGAGCGCTATTTTAAATATAGTTTTCTCGAGAAGTTTTAAGGTTGCTACTTAAATTCGCCTGACTGAGCCAAGAACTGAGAATTTTCCCGACTTTTTCCTTATTTGGAAAAACTGTTGGTTTCTTGAACATGTATCGCACCAAAACCCACCATTCTTTAGTTTTCGTTGTTGTTATATACCTTTACCATTAGTTTGTCGAGTGCCGCACAGGGCATCCAGGTGATAGTGTGCATATATTTAATAGTCTCCTGGAATTGGACATAGTATTGATTAAACTCTGTGTGAACGTTAACTTTTGACACAGTCGATCCCCCTCCATCAGGGGAACACCTCTCCATTACCATACAGACACTCCTTTTCATACCGAGGATACGAAACTTTATACTTTCCCCACCTCTACAATACGAGCACATTTGTAACGAGGAAACTTTAATTTGCTTGGGTGTTAGTATTTATTATAAGCTTTGACTGTACTCGTGAGCACTAGGAAATATTTAGTTGGGGGTCGTCCGCCAGGGCCTTGGATATCCCGTCTCAGACCAAACAACTCAAATTTGCAACCCTATCTGCAGCTGTATCTGAGACTCGATCAAGGCCTCAATTGTGTTGAAGAACCTTTCTGGGGAACTAGCTGGTTCTCACAACAGGCGATTATTTTGTTCAATTGACTCCTTTTTATTCTTTAGTCCAATGTCACGAAGTTAGCTCAACTTTTATTTTACAATTCTCTGCTAAATGAGTGTTACACCCATTTTTATATCATCCAGGAAACCAGCTGCTTAGTGCAAACCGAATGCTGACGTAAGTCTAATCCGATTGGTTAAAACAGTCTCATTAGTATCAAACCTTCGAGATAATTACTTTGTCAAAATGGCTCTTCAACCCAAGGGTTTTTACTATTAAGCTTAAGTTAACTGGCCACACGGGACGAAAAATTGGATTTACTGCACTTTTGACACGAGTCAAAAGTTAAGTCAAATATGGTATTGGTTTTGACTTCACCTTTGACGCGCGTCAAAGATGTCGCCAAATATATAAGCTCTTTGCTTACTCCTTTGACCTCGGTAAAGGTGAAGTCAAATTGTTAACAACTTTGACTTCTCCTTTGACGCGCGTCAAAGATGAAGTCAAATGAATCAATGCTTTGCTATTCCTTTAACCCTTATCAAAGTCGTTGTCAAATATGCTGGTAACTTTGACTTTACCTTTGACGCACGTCAAAGATGAAGTCAAAAGTGTAGTCAACTGTGACCACACCTTTGATACTAGTCAAAAATGAAGGCAAATACGACCGCTACACTTTTACAACACTCTTGAATAGTGCTGAAAGGTGAGAGCAAATATGCAATGAATTACGTCTACAAACACTTATGTCGAAACTGATATTGAGAAAGGAAATTAAAAAGCTGTATTTGAATACTGTTTTAAAGATATTTATACGACAATACCGAACACGGGCGGGTAATCATTGTAATTGCTGTTTTATAATTATTTTTGAAAATGTTCTAGAATATGTACTTTTTCGAAGTGATTTTTTTTTTGTCTTATCTTGAGTGGATCATTTTCTCCTTGATCGATCAATGTACCATGTAATGACAGCGACGCAAAACAATGACTCAACAATTGGACGATGGAAGACTGAACCCAAGCAAGACACCCTGTTTTTGGCGCGAAATTGTCGCGGTTGCAAACTCTCTCCGCCCGCGCAAACAAACAAACTACGCAGATCTGAAGAAAACAAAAGCTGCTTTTTTGTACGAAGCAGTCCAGCTTTTGTTAACAAATATTTTCACCCTTATCTTTGATAGAGTTTAGACCACAAACTTGTTCAAAAGGTACGTGTCATTCTTTTTTATGAGTTCATGCAATAGTTGTTCTTCAAACTTCATAGTCGTTTTACTGTGTTAAGCTTACGGAAACCAACTCCGAACAGGCGTGTATGTCGTGCTTGGGAGCTTTTGTGATTGTTAAATCTGGTTCAGTAAACTATAAAAATTTTTCTATATTACAGTAGAGTTTACATTAGATCAAGCCCTTTTCTCTTAATAGGGTTAGTGCATTTCTGCAAAAGTAATAGCTGGCTTATATTTCACAATGCAATTCAAGTCAAAACTCCATGCGACAACCTACTAACATCAAGATTATAAACCAACTCTGGTTTTTCTAACAGTGATACTTAACTACGAAAACTACTTCAGGGTAATGAAATAATATAAGACTTACATATATTTTTTTTCATGGACAGTGTACTTCAATAAAAATATCTGTACCAGACTTTGATGGGCATATTACTGAAGAAAGTACATAAGCTTATTTGAACAGGATTCAGTGCAGTTTATCAAGCAAAGAAGTGTGGTTATTTGAAGACTTCGGATGTTTTACAGACGTGAGTATCTCTTTCTATTGATTTTTCTGGGTTCTATACGTAATGGGGCTCAGGGTGCATAATTTTTAAAATATTCCATTGATTTTTGTGCCACCACAGTGGCAGCTAGGTATGTTTCAACATTTAATAATAATCATTCAAACATACCGAGCTGTCCCTTCCTTATTGTGACTGTACAATAACTTTAAAAATAGCCTGCGTAGCAAGCTTTTCCGAGCGAGTTTTCTGCAAGAGACTAAGTTTGTAGAGGGCAAAAAAAGAGGAAGGAGGGGCCGGGAGGGGCTAACTCGCGCAATAACTCTATTGGAAACGCTTGTTATGTAGGCTAGGTATAATATAAAGTGTTTCTTTAATTTAATTTTAAGCTTTGGGCATGGAGGGAAATTTTCATTGAATTTTCCTGGACTTAATTAAGTGATAATAAGGCTCGATTCAAACGTCAAATTTCACAAATGACGAACTTAATGACAATGCATGTACACGAGATGTAATGTTCCCATTCAAAAGAATTAGGTTCGCTACACATTTTTAACCGGGTCTTTAAGAGGCAGTCTCCCTAAAAGCGGTCCACTCGATTTCGCGACAAAAAATACTTTTGCTTTATTTTTTGTCGGTGAAGAGGCTTTAGTAGGTGTATACTAAAATCGCTATTTTTGTTTTCAAATTCTTATTCTTAGCTCTGCTACAAGCCAAAAACGAATTGAGTCCGTCTCGGCTTCTCAGAGAGTGTTTCGAAGACTAAAATTGATGGATTTTGAAAAGCGCGTTGCAAACAACCGAATGCCCGCACAAAAAATCTGTTCGATTCAGTTTTTTTAGTTAACCTTCGATAGTTCACAGGCTAAATGAAAATATCTTTGATCAAAACGTGTTCAAGTTACAGTGGTTCAAAGAATAAACTATTTTGCAGGCTTGATCGAAACCTTGAAAGTAAGGAAGATTTGAGGCAAAATATCTCAAAAGTTGCGGCCTAAATCTGGTTTAAAAATCATATCAAAGTAAAGTTTTAAGCTTATTTTTTTGGTTTATAGGCTCAGACTTGCGGGTATCTTCTGGGATTGCAACCAACAGTAGATTATAATCTGCCTTTTTGCGTATTTGCATAATTACAGGCCGTGTCAGATGTCATGATTGTACAGGTTAAAAGTTCCATAAAATTGCCTCTTTTGACACTTGAATTCGTCTCCGGCCTCTAAAAGAAAGTAATTAAGCTTCTTTAAGTACTTTTGAATCGAAAGAGATATACTAACAGGGATGGTCATGCATGTTACTGATTACCACGATCAACTGGCGAGCGCCATCGTCTTGTAACTACCTGCACTGAACAGTAAACAATGTTTTTAATAGAATTCTCTAGATCAGAAGTTGATCCAAGCTCTCTAAGTAATAAAAATAAATATCACTATCCCGGGATACAAAACATGCACAAGAAAGGCAACGTAGAATTTTAAGTTCTTTCCGCAATTTCAGAGTGAATTTCTCCGCGGTGCATATAAAAGTCCATGAATTATTGTAATAATCAGGCTGTTTAAAAACGTTTGACGCACAACAAAAACAATTAGTCATTTACCGTTTTATCTGTTCTCGGTAAATAAGACGCTTACCTTTACTTTAGATTCTTGATGGAAGAAGTCTATCCAGGCAGCTGAAGTTAGGCAGTTTCGTTTCAAAATCAAATCACAGCGTGATAGTGTCACGTAATGTTATGGTCACGTGGCTACGTAACCCGTCGGTGGCCAAAATCTTTGTGATAAACGAAATTTCTGTTTCTCTCCAGAAAAAAAAAGTCCTAATTGAATGAGTTTTTCCTCCTTAAATTGCACAAAATGCGTATCACACCAAGAAATTTGTATTGGTAATGAATCATTTTCTACGGCATGGTACCACTGGCCTTATTAATCCTCGCCCATGCGTTTTTTTTTTATCAACTTAGAATGTCCCATATAAGAGGCCAAAATAGTTAGTACGACAAAAACGTTTCCAAAGAACGGATGTAATAGTCTTTAAAAATGCAGCTACAGGGAGTCTTGTAGTTTCCATGTAGAGTATTTTAATGTGACGTCTTGTTGACATCCGGGTTAGGTGATTTTGACGTTCTAAAGGAGATAGGTCTGGCCGGGAGTTTTGGGTTTTCAGGTGTCTGGGCTCAATTTTGTTCAGGTTTTCGGAATTTTAGGGCCAAATAAAATAAATAGATAAATGATCTTTAATCACAGGTTGACAAGGTCCAGACTCAAAACAGTTCGTTCGCACAAGGTTCGAGGCAGGGGGGGGGGAGTTGCCCAGGAAATTGGTGCAATGGACCTTGCGGCTATCTGCGTCGCTGTCTTACGTTCCGTCCTAGAGTACAATGTTGCGTGGCTTGATATAACGCCCTTCCTGCCCATCTGCCTAGTACAATAGAGCGGGTCCAAATGCGAGCTTTAAGGATAATATACCTTCGGAAGCTTTACAGTTTGCTAGAGTCGTTAGAGTTGAGGACAGGCGCAGTGGGCTCTGTATGGGCATTGTAAACAAAGGCAGGACCTTGTCAGAACACATAGCCTGCGTAGCAGGCCCTTGAAGGTAGTGGGTGCAAAAAGAACGGGCGCGCGAGAGAGACACACGGAGACACCCGTTCTTTCTTGCGTCCACTACTTTTTCAAGGGCCTGCTACGCAGGCTAAGAACACTATAGAAATGGCGTCTCTGGGGAGCATGCCGCCTTTAACCCGCCCGTACGGGCTCGCTCCTTGTCTTTGGACGCTGATACTAGATTCTGGGATAAATAAAAAAGCCGGGTTGGACGGTCTGTCTCAGTCCTGAAATACCTTATTTAGGTATATAGTATTCTTTTTCAAGGTAATTTCAGGCATTCGGTATCAAACTTTTTACAAATCTTTAGCTATATTGGTATCTTATGAGGACACAAGCGGGTATATTGGTATCCCACCGTCCCCCACCCTCACCCCTCCTATGCGGGCCGGGCCTGAAAATATGGAAGGGCGGAGTCCATGCCGTGAAAATAATGATTCATTACCAATACAAATTCCTTGGTGTGATATGCATTTTGTGCAACTTAAAGAGGAAAAACTCATTCAATTAGGGCTTTCGGGAGAGAAGCAGAAAGTTCGTTTATCACAAAGATATTGGAGCACGACGGGTTACGTAGCCACGTGACCATAACATTACGTGACACTATCACGCTGTGATTTGATTTTGAAACGAAACTGCCTAACTTCAGCTGCCTGGATAGACTTCTTCCATCAAGAATCTAAAGTAAAGGTAAGCGTCTTATTTACCGAGAACAGATAAAACGGTAAATGACTAATTGTTTTTGTTGTGCGTCAAACGTTTTTAAACAGCCTGATTATTACAATAATTCATGGACTTTTATATGCACCGCGGAGAAATTCACTCTGAAATTGCGGAAAGAACTTAAAATTCTACGTTGCCTTTCTTGTGCATGTTTTGTATCCCGGGATAGTGATATTTATTTTTATTACTTAGAGAGCTTGGATCAACTTCTGATCTAGAGAATTCTATTAAAAACATTGTTTACTGTTCAGTGCAGGTAGTTACAAGACGATGGCGCTCGCCAGTTGATCGTGGTAATCAGTAACATGCATGACCATCCCTGTTAGTATATCTCTTTCGATTCAAAAGTACTTAAAGAAGCTTAATTACTTTCTTTTAGAGGCCGGAGACGAATTCAAGTGTCAAAAGAGGCAATTTTATGGAACTTTTAACCTGTACAATCATGACATCTGACACGGCCTGTAATTATGCAAATACGCAAAAAGGCAGATTATAATCTACTGTTGGTTGCAATCCCAGAAGATACCCGCAAGTCTGAGCCTATAAACCAAAAAAATAAGCTTAAAACTTTACTTTGATATGATTTTTAAACCAGATTTAGGCCGCAACTTTTGAGATATTTTGCCTCAAATCTTCCTTACTTTCAAGGTTTCGATCAAGCCTGCAAAATAGGTATTCTTTGAACCACTGTAACTTGAACACGTTTTGATCAAAGATATTTTTATTTAGCCTGTGAACTATCGAAGGTTAACTAAAAAAACTGAATCGAACAGATTTTTTGTGCGGGCATTCGGTTGTTTGCAACGCGCTTTTCAAAATCCATCAATTTTAGTCTTCGAAACACTCTCTGAGAAGCCGAGACGGACTCAATTCGTTTTTGGCTTGTAGCAGAGCTAAGAATAAGAATTTGAAAACAAAAATAGCGATTTTAGTATACACCTACTAAAGCCTCTTCACCGACAAAAAATGAAGCAAAAGTATTTTTTGTCGCGAAATCGAGTGGACCGCTTTTAGGGAGACTGCCTCTTAAGTTTTGATAAAGGTAAAGGGAAAGGGGAATTTTCTGCAGGAAAGGAGCGATAGTAAAAAGGGAGTGGGGCCGAAAAATGTATTTGAAACACTACGACTGAATTTTTTATCTCCAATTGCTATATTCTTTTACAATTATTTCACAGATAAAGAAACAAGGCAAAGTGATAAGTCTCCAGTGGAACGAAACACACAACAGAGGAAGATTGAAGTTAGATACATAGCGTTTGTCTTTCACTTACATCAAGAATCAAAAGCACTCTAGAATGAAAATCTTCGCAAAGAAAACATCAAGACAGATGGGCTCCTGATCAAGAACATTTCTTACTTACCATGATTTTTGCACTGGCTTGCGTGAAAGAAGTGTTTTAAACCATTTTGCAGGTTGCCGTCCGTGACAACAGCGTGTATCTGGAACATTTATAGCGCTTCAAAAATTTGCGGCAGTCATTATGATTGTCCATTGACAGACTGCAATGAGTACTTTAGACAATAAATCGTGAAAAGGTATTAAAAAATCATTTTTATGCGTTTAAGTTTTAACCGGAATTATTCAGCTTTCTAATCATCTAATGAGGTTTTAGGACAATAAAGTACAAGATTAAGAACTCAGTCTCTTATCTGTCCACCTTTTTAAACGGTATCCAGGTCGCAATTGAATTTGATTGAAATCTCAAGTTGGATTCTAGCCTGTATATCAAGCGCTTATGACTAGCGAGGCAATAACGCGGCATTGGCGCGAAGCGCGAGGCGAACGCGGAATTCACGCGAAGCGCGAGACGAGCGAGAGGCGCGATGTGAGGGGAGGAAAAAAACCAAACATATTTGGCAACACCTTTATTAAACTTTTGACCTAAATCTCAGACGCATTTGACGACAACTTTGTCACACATTTGACCTGAGGCTCAGACACATTTGACGACACTTTTCACAAGCCTTTGACTTTAATCACAGACATAACTTTACCGCGCTTTTGTCACACCTTTGGCCTGAATCTCAGACATATTTGACGACGCCTTTGATAGGGGTACAAATGCTAATGAAATATACCTTTGACGCGCGTCAAAGGTAGGGGTTAAAGGCGTGACAAAAACGGCCTTTATCGCCCGAAGACTCGCCTTTGACCGCGAGCAAAGGTAAACATTTGTCGCGCGTCAAAGTTGTACAAAGGTATGCAAAGGTGGCCTTTATCGCCCGTTTGACTTCACCTTTGACGTTCGGTAAATCCGTTTTTTCGTCCCGAGATAAAACTAGGAGAACAATATAAAAACTACAAGGTAGCTTCCTGTATACGAACTTTTCATATCAACAGATGAGAAATTACTAAAATTACAGCTTAAAAATCCTGGCTTGTTGTCGATTTACAAGAGGTGTGAAACTTCTTGTCGAAAAATGATTGGTCAGAACCTTTCCATAAATTAACTAAGGACATGATCAAAAACTCAGAAGATAATTAAAAATACAGTTCAAAGTACAAGGTAGAATATAGAACAATAGTTGTTTAACCACAAAAACACCTGTAAAATCACTTAAATCTAATTAAAGTTATCCACTGCCATGAATTCGGATAAATCACAAAGAAACACGCTTAAAACTGTTAAAAACAAGTAACTAAGGTAGTCATTTCCTGGTAAATATCGTCGGAAGACCAGATTAAGGTCAAAAATGTTAAACTGAACAAAATACTTAATATAAAAAAGGCTTTGCCATCTGTCAAAGGCTCTAATTGTACATATTTCATGAACTGAAGTGTCACTGCGGAGATGCACCAAATTGGTACATCTCCTTTGCACCGAATTCATTTCAGGAGAAACTGTCTATCAATCATCAGTTAACTTAAAAACCAAAACTATTAGTAGTGAAATAGGTTACTCAAATCAGTCAACAAGAACGCTTACAACAACTCCACTACAAAAATATATCGTAGCAAATGAAACAAGTGGCTAACGTAACTCTTCGATCAACATTTTCCTTTAACAAGACCAAGGAAAATGAATCAACATAAATCATTTTCTCATTTCGGGAGAGGATGTCATTTGATCGGTGTTAATGCGTAGGAGTTGAACACCAGGTAAAATAAGTCAAATTGTTTTTTATGATATTTCCCTCCGCCTATGGATATTTCCCGAATCGAATGAATTTTGTAATAAATCCCAAACACCAAATAAAATTCCTGTCATAATTTTAAGTCAAAAACATGAGCACTAGGAACATTTTTCATCGCCTCCATTTTTACTGTTTAACAATTGTATACCCCACGCCAGACTGGAAGTAAAAAGGATGTGTTTTATTCCAATACTCATGTTATTACAACAACTGTTATGTCCTCGCAAATACAAAAACTACCTAGTTTGGTGTAGCTAGAAAGATACAAGGCACCTTGTGGGTACAGATAACCTCATCTAAGACTAAAAAGATCAAAATTAGAACCCCATCACAGACCTGGAAGGTAAAAAATGGAACCCCAACCATTAGCACACACTTGTATGGCGTTTTACTGCGCTTTTCACAAACATGCGAATTCTGAAGTTCAAAAGCCAACTGACGATTGCTTTTTTTGCTGCCGTCAATCATCTGAACGGACCTCTTAGGAAACAAAACTTTACTTTAACGGGTTCAAAAGGTCAAGGTTTGTGATTTGTGATTGGTGGATTTCGATCCGTTTTGTGTGTTTCTGTGTTTCAAGGTTCGTTGCTCGTGATCGTAATTGTGATTGACGGCAGCGAAAAACGCAATTGTGAAGGCGGCTTTTGAACTTTAGAGTTCGCATGTTTGTGAAAAGCGCAGTAAGACAGTCTAGTCTATGGCACAGTTCACACTTGGTAACTGGGCACGGTGCCCGAGTACGATACTCGCTAGGCACTAATGCGAACACACCCTTTTTAAGTAGAAAGCATCGGGTCCCTGTGCGCACTGGGACCGTTTTTGTTAGTTCTGGGGCAGTCTACTGCCTTGTACTCGCTGCTAAGCCCGTGTTTCAAAATGGCGTCCGACAGGGCGAAATGGAGTAACTATGTAGTTGCTTATCGAGTACTCAAGATATGAACACAAAACCATTTTATGAAGGTATCCAGGTACTGGTTCCCGGGCACCAAGTGTGGACAGCCTCTAAGACATTTTGCGGGGTTGTTTTCAAAACAAATTTTCAAACATTTCTCTCTAAACAGTGAATAACCAATTATTGCCTTCAGAATTACCGCTGCCGGAGTAAAAACACCACACATTTATTCAGAGTTAGTCTTAAACTGAAGTAAACTAAGTTTTACAATTTGAAAAGTTTAAATTTGCTTACTGGTCGTCTCACCAGGAATTTGTGAATGCATTTACCTCAGATTGACGCTAACCCTGTGAAATGAGTCCGGTACTCTTATTCAGCCGTCAAGACGAACTCGAAATTGGGCGCTTTGTTTAAAACCTTCTACTTTAATCTTTCGTTTATTTTGTACATAGCTAGAGTATACAAAAGTTTCTCCAGTGTCGAGGAAACAACATGATTGTTCTTTAGTCGATAGAACATCAACATATATTCTCAGATATATTATATCTGCGAATATAGCCGTCTCTCAAAGCTTTACGATAATTGACCAGGAAACGTGCACTCGAACAAATTGACATGACTACCACATAAGTTAGGCAAACATTGATTCACGTCATCAGTTTGGAATTTCTTGGGTCGAATCGCAGACGTTTCACCCGCAGTACGTCTCTGACGGAGAGGAGCGAGGAAAGACGGCTGTATCATATCAGCAGGCTAATTAATACGAATTCACGACGCTCAGTAAAACCCAGTCTACTTCTTTCTACAATTGTGTTTATTCTACAGCTACTTCTTTAGTATATACGGCTAGACTACGATCATTCCCTCGTGTTTCGAAACGCGCGAGCCTACGAAGAGAATGACCACTCTCTTTTCGCGTGCTTCATCGCGATCGCTCGCATGTTTTGTGTCATATTTCAAAGAAAATCTAGACTATTCGCAGAGTAATTGTGGCGACCAGAGGAGCTCGCAATCTTAATCCTAAGAATGCTATATACGCATGCTTGGCACCTATGTAGCCAGCATTCGTTTAGACTTCCACTAGGAATGAATAAAATAAATAAAGTAAAAATAATAAAAATATATGGGGCAGACGGCTAACGTGAAACCGCTATAGCCAAACCGATAGCTTAAGGTCTCTCTTGCCCTTGAACACCTACAAGTTCATAACCGGGTTGACCTGACTGGTTCGAATTTCCTGCATTAACATGATTCCCACCGTTCCCGGTTTCTGCTGTTTCTTTTGCTTGATGTAGCTTCAGATAGCCAAGCCACACAGTTGAGAAAATCACCAAACCATTTTGAACTAACGTGGAAACAAGGCTCTCACTAAGGAACGACTGTGCAACTACTAACAGAACAATTATCAACAGTACAAATGCAGCGCAACTCCCTAGAACAAGAATTAAAGACATCGCAAACGGAAACCACTTCTTACAATTTTTTGGTTCAGAACGGCATCTACCACAACTGCACGTAGCTTCATGGGAAAGATAAAAGTCGTAGAAATCATATGAAAAGAAAATGAGAACGGCGGAAACAGAAATGACAGCCACTAAAACTGAAACCCCCCAAAATGGTTCTGTTATAACGCCTAGCAATATCCACAACAAATGATGGCATGTCATAAATATTGCTGGGTAAAGGATGAAGAAAGAAATAACATTTGTGCTTGGGTCATTCTCATGGCCCTTTACCAAGCTCAACCAGCATAAATTATCAAAATTATTATCCCAACAGATACGTCCCAAACACCAAACTGCCCTCCGAACCAATACAACCATTACACATATAAAGAATACCAGTGCATATTTCTCAGTGTTGCCGGAACGTTTCCAGGCATAATAAATTAAGTAGAGTCCCGAAATAAAAACAACTAAGGATAACAACATTACTGCTGCAACTTTGCTGTAATTTTTTTTCTTGTTCCACTCTTTTAGCTGCACTACAAGCCACTGTGAAGCAACTTGACTGAATATCAAACTAATCGACAGAATGTACCAACACACTTTATGAAGCAGGTTCTTCCAATCAGAAAAAGCTGGAGCTTTACCATGACCCATGGTAACACACTCTACTGTGTTCAGACTTGGATCAGGAAGATGTGGCAATACTGCTATGTCCTGCAACTACAAATCAAAGCAAGAACGGAACTACTAAAACAAAACACTCTCAAAAAGTTGCCTAAAGTCGCATAAAAAAGCGACAAACCCTAAACGATGACAACTACTATTACTACTGCTGCTTCTGCTGCTGTGGCTGCTCTTCCTCCCACTGTGCTGCTACTGCTACTTATTGACTACTGCTGTTGCTTTAATTTGCTGCTGCTACTAATGATACTGAAAGCACGGCTACTGCTGCCCCTGCTTCTACTCTTCTAACTGTATTGCTGCCACTACTACTGCTGATGCTGCAGCAACTTCTGCTGTTGCTGCTACATAACTTCACTCCCAGTATTCTCTGGTTCTCTCCTAATCATCCCCTCGAGTGTGTGTGTGTGTGTGTGTGAGAGAGAGAGAGACCATCTCTCCCTTGCACTTTGGGCGACAAGTACAGTCAAACACCGTTAATACGGACAGAAAGTGTCGGTATTAACGGGGTGTCCACATAATGTGGGTTGAATTTAGAGAAAATGTAAGGTCTTTCTTTCCCCAGAGACAATTAGCAAACTGTCCATAATAACAAGGTGTCCATATTAAGTGGGTGTCCATAAAGCGGGGTTTGACTGTAGAAGAAAACCCTGGGAATGAGGTTGATGCTACTACTGCTGCTACTGATATTGGCACTGCTATTATTACTGCCACTGCTAATGCTTATCACACCGCCCTGCTCAAAACCATGCAGGGACTGGAAAAGCCCATGATAATTTCTGCTCATGGGCAATTCCACACGAGACAATGAAATTTTGAATTTTTTAAAATAAAATTTTGCACAATGAAACTTAACCAACAGAAAGCTGAAACAATGGTCTGTTTGAAATTACTGAGATCTTGTGCGTCTTGTCCATGTGCTTAATGTGAGAAGGCACGAAATCCAGAGAATTTGAATCTCATTATATTTGGAATTTTTGGAAGGAAATTTTAAACAAAGTTTTAACATCTAAGAAAACATACAGTTAACATAAAAGTATGTGTGTATTATAACCTTTGCCTTACACTATCATTAGGCTATAAATTATTATCCAGCTACTGGCACTTTCCCAAGAAAATTGACATTGAATTTTTGTTGCGGACATTACGTAATGTCTGCAACGTGAAGGTACCTTTTTTCAGTTCCTGTACACAGTGTGCTGTATTCTCATGTGCTATTGATGCTGCTCAGTTAGTCTGATGTATACTCTATTTTAATCTCAAAACATTTCCTGGGTGGGTTTTCTTTGCTCAGAAATTATACGTTGAAAAGTGTTGCGGACATTACGTTGCGGACATTACACATGTTAAATTTTTCATTTATTCAGGCTGTTGGGGATATTTACTTCTTACTATCTCTGAATTAGATTCAGACAACAGCCCACGTAACACTAAATTGCTTTTTATTGATGTACAAATGTAAGTGGCAAATTAAAAAGAGCTGGTAGCTTTTCCGTAAAATGTCCAATGAATTTAATTTACAAACTATTAAAAACATTCTAAATAATTTACGATTTGTGTGATATTCTTGAAAATGGGCAAACATAGTGATTTTCAAATTAGTTCCTTCCATAAAGTAGTATAGATGCATGACGAATTTTCCAGTACCTTAACAGAAAAACAGAAAAATATTTTAAAGAGTTTATAATTATGGTTTTGGGGGACGCTGTCACAAAATTACAGAGTGACATTTGTATGGATCTTTAACTGTGTTTCAAGAGTCATAACTTGATCCCTGTTCAACTTTAGAGCACCAAACCTGCTCAACCAACCAATCTCAACATGACCTTTTATATGGTGGTGTCAGTTTATCGATTAGTTTAAATTTGAAACTTGCCCCAGTTCCCTATGCAACTCCAAAATGGCCAATGAGTAGCTGGTCAGGGGTTTTGTACTGCTGAGCATGCTCAGAACAGTTTGTAAGCATGCTTTTGAGGAAAAGCTCTAACCATCATTGTTTCTTCCATAAACTTGAATGGGTATTATTTTTTTAACAAGAATTTGTAATATAATGTGTAGTGAACAATGTGCAATTTTAGTGCAAATTTACATTTTATCTATCTTTAAGTCAGACTGAATGACAAAATATGATAATTTCAGTAGCCAAATCAGTTTTGTAAAAAACAAAATAATATCCTCACTACTGAGAACACTTTTTTCTCAGAACATTTACTTGAGATGTAATAAAATTAATTTGGAAATTATTTTAAGGAGTCAGTGTAGCAGAAAAAAATCTGACTGGTATTGCATGATACTAGGTCTCAGCAGGAGATTATATAATATTATAATAGAACATAAATAAAGTAAATGATAATTTCACAGCTTCATTTTTAGACAAGTAACTACAGAACAAATGGACATAGCCACAGTCAGCAACACTGACTAGGAAGAGAATGATAAGAAATGTGTTCCCAAAAATGTAATGTCCGCAACAATTTTGTGTAATGTCCGCAACGCAAACTTTTGTTTGTAGAATCACAGGAACAAGGTTGCATGGAATTTTTTTTTGACAGTTGAAAATTCTAATTATTGTTATGTTTTGAAGGCACAATTATTTTCTGCTCAAGGTTAAAAATTCACAGGAAAATCTCTTTAAAGAAAGTTACTTTAAAAAGTGGTTGTTTACACTGTAATGTCTGCAACACACTTTCTTCAACTCATACCTTCAAGGTCTTAAGAGCTAACCAAAGCATCTTTTTATTAGGTACAAAGGGAACACTAAAAAGACTTTCTAGATATGTTTGAACACCCTTAATGAACATTTTGACATCTAAATTGGGGTTTCAAAATATTAATTTTAGTATCTGAACGTAATGTCCGTAACATGGAATCACCGTCATAAAATCATATGTTATGGAGAAAAATAAACAATGACCTCCACAGTTTTCCTACTACAATTGAGCTTTGTACATGCGCCATATAAAAATGTATTTATTGTTATTATTGTTACCCCCAATATCCTTTTTTCCCTCAAAAATAAGGAATTTCATACTGATATTATTTAGAAAGGTTTGAGTGATGTTTATGGCAAACAGCAAACATCAGATTCAGGTTGAGAATTTCACAAAACAGAAAATGACAAGCTCAAAACAGCCAAAAAATATTACTGTGATTAACAAGACTAACATGAAGCTAATAGTTGTGGGTTAGAAATAATGAACAGAAAGCATGTAAAGCAATAAAGTCAATACAAATGTTTGCTGTTTGCTGTAAACGTGACTCTAAATCTCTCTATTGTCAGGACCCCACCACTGGTTTCCTTGTGAAATGATCACTGAGGAACAACAACAGAAATTTCTTACTGATGACATGTCATAACCAAGATCTGGGAAAACTGCTTCTGATTGGCTGTGCAACGAAAACGACATCCATTGGTACACATAGCGAGGCTCAATATTCTATGTTCCCAGACAAAGAACACCTGGTCCAGTGTCAATAATATTTTAGTTACCTTTTTGTTTTTTGAAGGCATTTACTGAGACAAATTTATGATTTGAAAATGAATACTATATTACACTATCATTCGAAGCAAATTTTCTTCCTTTTCATTGGCCGAGAGCCCACCATGTGACCTGCAAATAACTGCCTACAAATAATGGTCTGCTCATGTGCAATTATGTTGTGCAATTGTGTTTGGCTGCAAATAACATTCTGCTCATGTGTAAAAGAAACCGCACTTTTCTCCTTTTTGCGATAACTCTTGCATGAAAATGGCAGCTTCCCGAAGATATTTATCAAAAAACAAACTTGGTCACTGAATTATAAAACAATATTATTGAACTCAGTTATTGCAAAATATCGTGATTTGTCAGTGTCTCCCAGATCAGTTATTTGTCTTAGCCTTTGGTTTCGGCAAATAACAGTCCATTTTTGCTCCCGTGGGGATTTCGCCCAGAAGATGAAATCCCGAGGAGGCACTCTGGTAACTTGCACGTATATTAAGGAAAGTACTTACAGTTGAAATATACAGTCAATACGCCAAAAAATCTTGATTTGCTTGAACAGGGGCCGCGAGGAACCGGTAGGTAATGATGACGTTTCTATTGTTTGTGCCCGCAAGTACGAAATGGTTAGGATGACGTAAAGACAGAAAATCCCGAAGAGACCGCTTAGCTAGATTTTGTGACAATTATTGTGCAGTCATACTTCAATACACTTTTGCGTTACGTTTTATCAGTGACATTCTGGGAGCAGTTGTTGTGAAAGTTATGGACCAAAAGACACTTGTTACGCCCAGATGAAGTTATACGGTGTGTATAACTATGTATATATAAACACTTGGAGAGTTTGCCAGACATGAGTTCACATATCTTTGGTTGGAAACCTTGCCCGACACTCTTTCTCTCTTTTTGACCGGAATAAGACTCAGCCCCAAACAAGCAAGATGAGTGAACAACAAACAAATTATGTGCTGACTTATTCCTTGATCACAGAAGTCCTTCTGCTACAAAGGTTAAAATAAGACTAGAGTGTACGAGCGTGAATTGATCAAATGTCCTTTTAATTTCTAAGGCTTACTTTCTGTCAAATAAAATGAACTGAATGGAAAAAGTGAAAGAGAAATAGCAAAAAATTCAACCTCTAATTAAATCTTTTCTTATGGTTTAGAATAAACTATTCTCGAAACTGAGAATGTTTTGATCAAACCTGTGTAAATCGAACCAAAACTGTGCATGAAACCTTGCGTTTCCTGTATTTATCTCACCTATTGTATGGAATATGTGTGAAAATCCTCATTATGAATCGGTATATTTCAAAGAGCTACACAACGAGCAAGAATACTATTGACCGACAATATACAGAGGGGGGGCAGCTGTAGTGTCAACTATTACTAGTACAGTTACTATACAAGTGGAAATGAGGCTGCAGTTTCCTTGTTTTGATACAACCGTTCCTCCTTTACTATGTTAATGTAAGGTGTTCTTTTGCTAACTAGTATTTTTAGCATAATTTTCATAACAAAAGAAGAAAGGTTTGTATCGAAACAAGGTCAACCTCAGCCCCAAATTCACTCAGAGGCTAAGGTACTAAGCTGATAACTGTAAAATGGTCTATTGATCTGCTCACCACTGACAAATCATGATATTTTGCTCAACCTCGTCCAATAATTGTTAATTATGAACTGAATAATTTGGAAGGGTAAGCTATATCCTTATCAGCTATTTTTGAGAAGGCAAGTTAGCTAGACAGGGGTCAGGTGAGGGGAAAGACATCTTATCACCATCTCCAGGAGAACACTCAAGGGAAATGCAGAAGAAAATCAGTTAAAACAAAAGGGGGAATCACTGCTTCCTTGATTGCGCCTCAGTATGTTCCTCCAGTCCTTAATGATAATGATGATGATGATGATGATGTTGTTTGTGATGATGATGATGATGATGATCAGTTAACAGTAATGAAATGGCTAAAAGTCCTACCGTGGAAAGGAAGTAGATCATGGTGTCAGCAGAAAATCCCCTACAGAACTGTGGCAATGTTAAGTGTAGCTGTCTTTCTCGCCTGTTTGGATAAATAGCCCACAAAGAAAACGCATTCATGGAAGCCAAGCTTATGCTTCCTCCACTGACATACAAACAGGATGCACTCCACGTGAACTTGTATGTCGCGATCTTCGTTTCTGTAGTTTCGCGGAAACTTTCCCCTGTCTGTGAGATACTGGAAGTACTACCATTGATCGGAGATCGGGACGATGCGGCTAAATGAGTGAGATTGTCGCTGCCATTTAGGAAAGTAACAGTGATCTTGATCAGCAAAGAAGGCAAATCCACAGACGGATAAACAGCCTTGGAAATATTGTAGTAGTTATCATATGGCGGCTGCGATGAAATTAAATAGCGTTGTATATGCTCTTCCCGTTCCATGCACGTTGCAGATATCCCCTGTGATCCGGACAATAGTACCAGAAAAGCAACCTCCACCGGCCACAGACCCATCTTAGTTCGTAAATTTCTATGAACGCACCGTATTCACAAATGGTGGACACGCGGGAAAAACTGGTGCCTAGTCATGAAAGCGAGGCGTTGGAGGATTGAAACAAAAATTGCAAATGAAGACTTTCAGTGAACTTGCAGAGTGTTTACAGTGTTTAGCACGGATCTCACCTAAAACAGCTTTGTACGGACTTATTTTTAAATACAATTACGTGGGATGTCTTCTGCTTTTAATGTTTAGTACTGATTTGCTGTTTGCAATCAAAAGGGACGCGTATATCTTCAAGGAAACAGGATGATTTTGTAGGTTTCCGAAGCATCAGAAGCTCGACAAGTGGGCGATAGCTGCAGAAAAGCGGCTTCACATTGAAACCGAGTACGAAAGCCAGCTTACTGCAATTCGGTAAAACAGAAATGTAAACAATCTTGGTGGCAAGAAAAAAAGAAATATGCTACGGATATATGGCCTACTTGTTAACCCAAGAGACGTCTGCCATTGAACAAAACAGTTCAAGTCGAGACGGAAAAAAGGAAGAAAAAAAATTAAATTTGTTTGTCATAAATAAACTTCGATTTTTGAGCCAAAATTTTCTTGTTAGAAAACGCTCAGTTCACGAAACGGCTTCTTCTACCACAGGCGGCCCAAACTCACGTTGCAAGGGAAGGGTGTACATAATGTAATTTACATAACATAGGTGACGCGCCGGTGTCGCGTTACAGGCGACCGTTGAAAACATAAGAGACTTTGTATGAGAAATATATTACTGAGATCTACGAACGCTAAATAACGCTAAACCTTACTTTTTCGTAAATGAAATGAATAAAAAAGACTTACCTGCAATGTATTCCACTGCGTTTTGGTGTCTGTTTGTCGTTTTACTGTTTTTTTGGCTTTATTGCGTAACCACTGTTACTCCTTTCATAGAACGAAGTGAAGGCTGGTCACTTCGATCTGTCGGGGTCCTGGACCAGTCGCAACAAGAATGCCGTTTTTTTCGCCGAAATTCAAATCCGCTGCAAATTTTTCAGCTCCGGCCTAAGAGGGAAACCTCTTCTTCCTCTCTGGGAGATCGGCTCGAAAAAAGATCCATAATTTCCCCATTAAATCGAGCCATTTGTGCCGGACTTCGAGGCACGTCTGGCTTTCGTCCAGTACCTGTGACCACTGTTGCGCCTACCAACTAATTTGCATTATGACAATCAGCACTTACACGACGGGTGCAAGCACTCGCTTTTTCACAGTGCCATGGCCTAGTTGACGTGTCATTTCCTCCCTGTCACCCGTCGTGTAAGTGCTAATTGTCATAACCCAAATTAATTGGTAGGCGCAACAGTGGTCACAGGTACTGGACGAAAGCCAGGCGTGCCTCGAAGTCCTGCACAAATGGCTCGATTTAATGGGGAAATTATGGACACCGGCGCGTCACCTATGTTATGTAAATTACATTACGTACACCCTTCCCTTGCAACGTGAGTTTGGGCCGCCTGTGATAGTCCGAGATAGCGAACCAATCAGATTGCTTAAATCACCAAGGTCACTGAGTGTGTATATACTAAAAAAAAATGCATGGCGTGGGGCAAAGGAGGGAATTTCATATATCCCATGATGCGTCGCTTCATACTATATTATCACGCTTCTGAACGCACGTGATGCTATCAGTTCAACAGGGACGTGACAGTTGAACAGCAGTGGAAAGGGACTTCTTTTGCCGACACCTTTGCTGTTTCGATCTATTTACGATTTTCGTTTTTTTCTGTTCCAAATATATCTCAATGTTCTTAGAAGCTAGCGAGGAAGATCTTTGCTTCAGTACGTGGCTCCTGTTTTAACGTGCGTTGATAAAGCTCTCCGGCATGGATTAACAAGCGATTTCCACGTACTTGTCTTGAAATAAATACATATTCTAGGTGTGAGATCTCTCTTCGTTGCTTGTTGGTGAATGCGGTGTTTATATTGTCAGTTCAATAATTCATCGATGCAGTACATCAACAGTACGGTGACCGCACATGCTTTTACTTCAACAAGCTCGGCTTATGTAGTCGAAAATACCGAGACCGTCAAAAAATTCAAAGGAGGAGAATAGCTCCAACAAACAATAAAAGTAACAAAGACCTCTATATTTTTCGTAACACAACACCAGCTAAGCATCAGAGTCAACATGCACCGTTTGCTAGGACGCTAGCGATTGGCGATTGGCTGCGAGGTGTTTAATCCAATTATAAAGAATCATTGAGCCATTTTGAAAAAATAGCTCTTATTTGAGCTATTTTGAAAAAATAGCTCTCAGTGGTGTGAGCGTATGTATCTTTGTGGCTTTGTATCTTTGTAACTTTGTATGTTCGGATGTTTGTTGCAAGAACCAATAAGGTTGAAGGTACTATGAGTTGATGCTTAGGAACCAATGAGATCTTGGCATCTACTTAAACATGACATTGCTAAAGAGCTCTAAAGGTCGAACAAGGGCACTTTGAGACCGCCATCTTGATTCTTGACAATTTTTCGTCGTATATTACGGCTATAGGTGTTTGGAAACATTATATTAAACATCTTCATGATTCAAACGCTGTGTATAATGATGCAGCTGTTTAAGGGTTCATATTTTAGTGTGGATGCTATTTCAAAACATTTCTGACCGAATTCAGCTATCGCGAACGGTACTGACGCACGTATTTATGAGTTGTGTTTCACCTGCTTCAAGGTAGAGTATAAAAGATCATATATTTTCAAAGCTCTTCCAGTGAAGCAATAATTGATATTTAGATATGGACTTTAATTTGAAAGTATGCGGCATATAAAATGTAGTTTTACAAGTTTGAAAGGCAGCTTATTTTTTGTAAAGATGCACCGAGTATTGTTAATCCTGTAAACAACCTTTAAAAATATTATTCTCTCGCTTACAAAGTTAATAAATGTTAGGCTATCAACCTTTACGTTGCATGAAACATATTAATTTAATTGCAGATATTGTAATGAAGCCGAGATGATTTCTTAAAATCGCTTGAGAAAATTTTGTAGTAGACAATTTGCCTTTTTATTTTACGTACGAATTGTAAAAGGGCCAAAGACCAACATCTTCACGTGCAAATTGTGTGCAAGAGTTATTTTTATAATTCTGTTTACTAGTTTACTGTGTGATATTAAACTCGAATTCCCTCACGTACGAACCACGAAAGGGGGCAAAGTCCAACACTTTCACGTGCCAGCTGTGTGACTGTACATCTCATGCAGATTGGCTTTTCACAATGATAAATACAATGTAGTAACTTGGACGTGTGAAGACCTGTTTCGTTTTGTAACCAATGCCTTAAAAAAGGCTCTTGTCTTTTAAAAAGCAATAGCTTTTAAAACATGAAGAAATACGTTGTCGGAGTTAAAGACTGTTTCACTGAGTAGAATCGCACGTGAAAACCTCGTGAATTATGATGATGCAACCATCTACCTCAATGATAAAAGTCCTGGTATTTCATAACTATTCAGTATTCGATGAGTCACATTTTGGCTTAAGAAACTCCGAGGAAACCTTAGAGTTTTCGTTCTAATCATCGATCAACGTTTGGTGAGTAGAAATTTATTTTACTTTAACAATTTGTTTAACTTGCACCAGATGTAACGGGGAAAGACAGAGGAAAGTGAATTATAGGTTGAGGATCGACTCAGCTGAGCGTTTCGCGTTTTCATTTATGTAGTGCAAAATTATACCCAATTTCGCACAAAAACCAAATCTACATTTAGGATGAAAAAGGTAGATTCATCACTCTTGGTAAGGTTACCCCGAAGTATTATAGTTACACTGAAGCATTCAAAATAGCTCATGCACGTTTAACGTGCCTATGTTCATTTCCCATATTCTAGTCCTTCTGTATTGAATGGTTTTCATTTTTATTTTTCTTTGCGTGACAGTGAAAGCCGAGAATAGTGAAACCTAGCGAGACGTAGCAAAAGAAATAACTAAAAAGCGATCATTCAAGGAAAAATGAAGATAAATTTCAAAATGTACCTTTTAATGCTGACACTGATAAGAGATGTCGATACGTCCGGACGATTTCTTAGAAGTGATAACATGTTGATAGTCTGTCTTTCATTTCTGTTTACGCTTGCGCATGAAAGAACTGTTACAAAGGTAGAAACGAGAATTGAATAAAGTATGAAATAATCTACCTTTACTTAAAATGGGAACCTTAAATATTCAGAATCCACCTTAAAAATCGCCAAAATGGAAGGATGTTTTGAAAATCCTTTTGCAAACGATACTAGATCCCAGACATTCTCATCCCCAGAGCCACTCGGCTTAATTTGTAACCGACCAATGGCTTTGGACGCAACGGAAAATACGAATTTTTTCATTGGCTGAAGGCAATTGAATGCGCAAAGCAAATTAGAAATATAATCTACTGCGCATAAAATTTTACCTCGTGCCTACAAACATGAAATGCGTGTCGGAGTTTCGTTGATTGCGACAATCCTGGTTTGTTTATATGCAGTAGCAGTGAAGAAGAGAATTGCAGGTAAAGTTTGAGAAGTTTCTACGAAGACAAAGAGCCTTGACAAAGAAAGTATTGCATTGCCTTCGTTGTGGGAAACTGAAAGGAGGAGTAATGGTTAGTTAGCTCTTGCTGTTGCTCCTTGCTCGTTAAAAAAATAAAGCGATTGATACTGTACTTGTATGGCGTCATTAATTAGTTTTTCTAATTCCTCTGGATATTCGTCAGTGCTACAGTAGGAAAGGAAATCAAGCTTCGACTACATTACAGAAATGATATTGCAGTGTGCTTTTAATTTATTGTATTTTCTGCTGAAAGAACATCTCCTTTGCTATATTAACGTCAAGATAATATTTTGTTATATGCCTTTATTTCATTAGACCACTGATGGCAGTGCACAAAGCCAGAACTGAATTGCTTATGAATCATTTTGGGCAGCATGCAAAAGG